TGCCGCAGTGTCCCAGCGTATAACTCGATTGCGATCGGGGACCAGTAGACGAAGGGATTACCAAAGAATGCAGAAGGGACTTCCTTCAGATGATGAAACATCGGATGCTTGCTCGGATGCTTGCTCGGATGCTTGCTCAGCGATGGCTTCTGATGACACCGCATCGAGTGCGGGACAACCCTACGAATCACTCATGATTAGCGCCGTGCAAGTGGCTAAGATTCTTGAGGACGCTTTAGCCAAGCAAAAAGACAGTTTTAAATTTGAAATGAAAATGGATATGCAGCAAATGAGGGAGATGCATGACCAACAAATTGCAGCACTAACAACTCATCAGGGAGAGTCTAGCCGTCGCAATAATCCGAACCAAGATGATAACGAGCGGGAAGTGGATGAGAATGTTAACATGAACACTCCTCCTGTCAATAACAATACTGGGGGTGGTCTTTCGGATGATAACAATACAAAGGAAGACCACGTTACTTCTCCTCGAAACCACTCGAAGACAGATACGAGTGAGGAAAAAAAATGAGAGATTTGGAGAGCAAAATCAATGCGTTGATGAATGCTCAGGAAGAAAATTACATATGATGAAAGAAGTTTTCTAGGTTGTTACATAGTTTTATAAGAAATATTCATGAAAATAGGGTAGCATCATGATGGATGGAAATATTGACAGTGAATAGCATCATGATGGATGGAAATATTGACAGTGAATAAGTATCATTGAGTTAATATTGGCAACAGTTATAATGCTACACTAGGATAGCAGATATGCTATGAATAATTAGTAAAATGCAAAAGGATAACCATAACGAACAAGAATGTTTCACAAAAGTGTAGCAGATCACTATATACTTAAAAACAATTCAAACCTTCTGTTAATAAAAGAGAGGATGGAGTGACATTAGCATATTATGGATTAGATGTTGTTGGATGCTTTTATTTCAGGTGTATTTTACAATGTTCTTCAAAAAGAGGTGAACGCTTTAAGAAAGCGTGCTATGAGAAGTAGCACTGCCTGACAGAGAAGGATTACTCTATTGAGGTACAATGTAAATTTATCTATTGACCCAAAATATGGGATCAATGGAGGGGACAGGTGAGGTGTCCCTTCCCTATTGCATAATGAGTTGGCCATGTCAACTCATGCCAACTCATTATGCAATAGGGAGAGGACACCTCACATGTCTCCTCCCTTGGTCTCATATTTTGGGTCCCCGTAGCAACACTCTTTACATTTTTACCGTCACTGATTTTCTTGAAGAAAATCCGACCAATTATCAGCTTCGAAACATAGAAAGTCCAAGTAAACCTCCTCAGTAACTTCTCTGACAAGATTAGACCTCTGAATGCACTTTCCATACCATTGCTTCTCAACAAATCCCACTCCCAAATAATTCAACACTTCATCATAATCTTTATTATCAAATGATGAACTCAGGACATAGATCCCGTGAGATAACAAGTCCTACAAGTCTACCTTAATCTTCTCCACCTTGTCCAGGACATTCCAAAAGGCCGGCTTCAGTCGACCAAGTTCACTGGGTTTAGAGGAGAATCTTTGTGGAGTTTGAGATTCACATGGTACAACATGCTCTGCCACTAGTTTTTCTTTGATGGATAGCCTCAAAGAGTCAATTATTGAAGAGCTTTTTATGGGGAGGAAACGAAAGATGGAGGAAATGCAGGAAGAGGGAGCAGTCTCTGTTGATTTCACCAAGGAGATAAAAGCAATGTTGAAGGCAGAAGGAACAAGAATTCCCTTGTTCCAGGGGCTATCCGAAAGTATCGACTCCCTTGATGAAGATAGAAGGAAGTCTGCCTGAATTATGAACGGGGAGTTTGCGACCATCTCAGTCCCCATGGAAAAGCCAGAATGATGATCCACTGTATTGTGCCTTGGATCATTGTTGTCTTCCCTTACTGCCAGCTATTTAATTTTTGAAAGGAACAGTAGAATTTCAGGATGCACACGTTTTTAGTAGCTGTTGCTTTACTGCTTTAACCTTTTCAGCTTTTAAAGGCAAGACTATAGTGGTGGTAGGAAGTGTTTTAGAAGGATCATATATTTGTTTTGTGTTAGAGAGCATCAGATTATCTTCAACCCATTCACGGACAATGTACCCAATGTTACACTCTGGGCATGGTTCTTCATTGAAACTGTGAGAAACGTGACTTTGAAAATGTCTTCATCTGCCTGCTTTGGGTTTGTTTTTTCAAAATTAACAGCTCAATTGTCAAAGCCTCACCTACCCCTTTGTATATTTTATTGTTTTCTTATGATTATATAAGGGGGATGAGGGGAGAGGGTTTAATGCATCAGTCGGAGAGAAACAAAATATTTAGAGAAAAGAAGAGAGAGAGAAGAGAGTGAGATAGAAAGAATTTGTCTCTTTCTTTGTGTGAGTCTCTGGCAAGAGAGTGATCTCCTCTTTGTAATCTTCTCGTTGGTGATTAGTGAAATTCTCTGCTGTTCTCGCCCGTGGACGTAGGTCATACTGACCGAACCACGTTAAATCCTGGTGTGCTGTTTTCTATTTGTCCACTCTTGTATAGACATCTTCTGTGTCTGTGAAGCCCCTCAGCTGCAACAAACTGGCATCAGAGCCTGCTTAGAGTACGTGTATCTGTTTATCGTATGCTCTGGGCCTGCCACTAAAAATGGATCCTCCACATCAGAAAATAAGCTAGATTATCATTTACTCTTTAAAGGCATTGGATATTATTCACGTGTACGGTACTATTCAAAAGTATTGTTACTATTCATACGTACGGTCACTATTCATATGTACGGTTACTATTCGTAAATACGGTTACTGTTCATAAATACAGTTACTGTTCATAAATACAGTTACTGTTCTAATTGGCTTCAAGATGTCTTCTGAGAAGTATAAAGTGGAGAAATTCGATGGGAAAAATAGCTTCAGTTTGTGGAGAGTAAAATGAGAGCTCTCCTAGTACAACAAGGACTGTTCAAGGTCTTGTCCGGAAAGGATAAGTTGCCGGAATCTATGCCCGATGATAAGAAAGAAGAGCTGAAGATGAAGGCGTATAGTGCCATACAGCTCTGTTTGGCCGATGAGGTCCTGCAGGAGGTTGCCGATGAAGATACTGCCGCCGGCTTGTGGCTCAAGTTGAAGAGCTTGTACATGACAAAATCTCTGACGAACAAGCTTTATTTGAAGCAACACCTCTTCACCCTTCGCATGAAGGAAGATATGCGAATTAAAGACCACTTAGATGAACTTAACACTATTCTTATGGATTTAAAGAATATTGATGTTAAAATTGACGAAGAAGATCAAGCACTCATCTTGTTATGTTCATTACCTCATTCCTATGAAAATTTTGTCAATAGCATGTTATGCGGTAGAGATACACTTTCTTTGGAGGATGTCAAATCAGCCTTACATTCAAAAGAGTTAAGGCAGAAAGTGTCTGTCGTAGGAGGAGAGGATCAAGCTGAAGGCTTGTTCGCTCGTGGTCATCCTGAAAAGGGTGTTGGTGGTAGAGGCAAATCTAGAAACATGTCTAGATCAAAGTCCAGACCAAGAAGAAATGTTGAATGTTATTACTGTCACAAATATGGGCATATAAAACCTAATTTTCCAGCGTTCAAAGCAAAGGATAATTCACAGTCAAAGTCTGAGGAGGTGAAACCTTTAGTTGTCACTGTAACTGAAGAGTCTTCTAGTTCACATGAAGTTCTTTCGGTTAGTGTTAATACTCATTCACAAAATGAGTGGGTACTTAATTCGGGTTGTTCCTACCATATGTGTCCACATAGGAATTGGTTTGTCACATATCAGTTTATCGATGGTGGGAATGTCTTGTTAGGAAATAACATGCCTTGCAAGACTGTTGGTATCGGATCAATTAAGATTAGAACCCATGATGGTATTGTTAGAACATTGAGCAATGTCCGTCATATTCCCGAGTTAAAGAAGAACCTTATTTCTTTAGGCACCCTTGACTCAAATGGTTTTAAGTTTTCGGTTGAATGTGGAGTTTTGAGAGTTAGTAAAGGCTCTCTTGTTGTGATGAAAGGAAAAAATATAAATACCCTCTATATCCTTGAAGGCAGTACAGTGATAGGTGCTGCAGCAGTGTCATCCTCAGAGGATTCAGATTCAGACACTACACATTTGTGGCATATGCGGTTAGGGCATATGAGTGAGAGAGGACTAGATATATTAAGCAAACAAGGTCTGCTTTGTGGTCAGAAAACCAGCAAATTAGATTTTTGTGAGCATTGTGTTTTCGGCAAACACCATAGAGTATCCTTTAGTACCGGTGTCCATAGAACCAATGGTACTTTAGATTATATCCATTCAGATGTTTGGGGTCCCTCTCAGGTTCCATCGAAAGGTGGAGCTCGTTTTCTGCTAACATTGATTGATGATTATTTCAGAAAAGTTTGGGTGTATCCTTTGAAGCATAAAAGTGATGTGTTTGCAACCTTCAAGCAATGGAAGGTTATGATTGAGAAGCAAACAGGAAAGAAAGTGAAGCGCCTCAGAACCGACAATGGGATGGAGTTTTGTTCTACAGAGTTTGATCAGTTCTGCAAGAATGAAGGTATTGTGCGTCATCGTATAGTTCGGCATACACCACAGCAAAATGGAGTTGCAGAAAGGATGAACAGAACACTTTTAGAGAGAGCTCGGTGCATGCTCTCTAATGTCGGTTTGTCAAAAAACTTTTGGGTCGAGGCAGTCAACACAGCTTGCTATTTGATAAACAGATCTCCTTCTAAAGCAATTAATTTTAAGACTCCAGAAGAGGTATGATCTGGTGCCCCTGCTAATTACTCTCATTTAAGAGTATTTGGTTGCTCTGCTTATTTTCATGTTAATAATGGTAAGCTTGAACCCAGAGCACAGAAAGCTATCTTTCTAGGATATGCTACTGGGGTGAAGGGATATAGATTGTGGTGTTCTGATCCCAAGTCACCTAAATTTATTATTAGTAGGGATGTTACTTTTGATGAAAAATCCATGCTTCACCCGAGAAAGGAGTTTGTTATTGATACTACAGGTACTGAAAAGGAGTCTAGCAAGCAGGTGGAGCTAGAGAGCTCAACTTCAAAGAGAGTGCTTGAGGGCGCTCATGTTGAACCAGTTGATACTGCGGAAGGTTCAACTTCAAAGTTTAAACTGTAATTTTTTTTAACTTATGATATTTAGACATCTAAAGCACAAACTGGTTATTTATGTATCACAGCACACTGGATTAATGATAATTAGCAAATTTTTAAAAGATATATTTTTTTATTGCATTTAAAAATTCACATAGTGGTATTAATATTGTAAATTTAATAATTAAAGAACTTATAAAATTAGAAATTTTAAAAAAATATTTTTTTCTTTCACTAAATAATGCAAGTAATAATAATATAGATGTTGAACATATCAAATCATCTTTGATATTGCCATATCATAGTGATTTTTTTCATATTAGATGTATGTGTCATATTTTAAATTTAATTATTCAAATTACATTTGGTGAAATTAAATCCATGATAGAAAACATTAAGACAGTAGCTTATGCTCATAATGCGCTTCTGAACAAAGACTTAAAAGATGAAAATAATTGTGTAAAAGAAAAAAATTTAAACACAGATTAATTTCAAAAGATGTTGACCATAGGTGAAATTCTACATATGTGATGTTAAATATAGCAATAGAGTATAAAGAAATTATAAATGATTTTATTGCTGTCTAAATTTTTAGTTCTAGCTCTGGTAATATGTATGGAATAAATGAGGATGAATGGTTAGTTATATATAGTGTAAAAGAGATGTTACAAGTTTTTTATGATGCTACTATGTTATTATCTGGTTGTTATTATCCAACTATTATTCAAGCCGCTTAACAAGTTTTAAATATTCAAAAAAATTTAACAATTATCGTATGGATAATTATTTTGGAAATTAATATGATTTTTTAAATGAAAAGTAAATTTAATAAGTATTTTAGGCATATTCCTATTATTTTTGGTTTTGGGGTTCTTATTGATCCATGTTTGAAGAATGTTGGCCTTTGAAGTTTGTTAAATTATTTGTATGGTAACATAATAATAAACACTGATGATGGTCAAACTATTACTGCTCTTACTCATCATAATACTATTAGAATTTATTTTCAAAGATTACATGATGTGTAGACAGCTAAATATGGTCTGCACATCAGTCTACAGCTTTTGCTTCTACGAGTTCAATTCGGGGCAAAGGTAAGAGTTTTGATAGGGAATTAACGATAGCCCAGCTAACTGGTGGATTTGGATCATTAATGAAAGTTTCTAAAATTGAACAATATTTAACTGCATATTTAGTTAAAATTCAAAATAATAGTTTCGATATTTTACAATTGTGGAAAGTATATGGGACAGTTTCATATCATATACTTTCCATCATGACTCGTGACTTACTAACAGTGTAGGTTTCCACGGTAGCTTCGAAATCCACCTTCAACATAGCAGGACGTTTGATCAACGGCCATAGGACATCGTTAGATCCGTATACCGTACATGTGGTAATGTGTCTACAAGATTAGTGGAGGTACGAGAAGAGAAATCAAGACATTGATCGGATGACTAGTATTTAAGTTAAACTTAAAGAGTTGGGAATAGCAGATAGAGATAAATAGTAGAAATTATTCATTAGTTTGTAATTTTTATTTCTTAGCTAAAAATTTGTGATAAATTATTTTGAAAAGAGTTGCAAATAATAGTGATATAGATGAGTAGGTGCCAACCTAGTTGGGATGTATTCATCTATTGTGATGCTTTAAATTTCAAAATAAATTTGTAATTGTTAGTGATTAACTGATTGTTAATTTTTATCGTTTTAATTTCTATGATTTTTTGTATTTGTAAATTATATAATTACAAATGATTAATAATATGATTGATTTTTTTATCAAAATTTTTCTTAATTTATCATTATGTACTCTTGAAATTTGAAAAAAAAAGTAAAATAACCGGCCCGGCCCGGTGCACTGCGCGCTCGAGCCCGGGCCTGGGTCGGGCCAAGCCGGCCCATTTTTGACAACCCTACTCAAATCTGTAAGATTGTTCATTATAAGCCCCTCTAATCTTAAGGGTTCTCGCAATTTGGTCCCTCAATGATCAAAATACCCCTCAATTTGTGCTTTCCTCAAAAGTGCTCTATGTTCATAAAAACATTATTTGACTAGTATTTTGGTGATCGACGAGAAAATTGCGAGACACCATAGGATTATGAGCAACTTCAAACATTTGAGGGACTAGCATGAAATCATTGAAGATTTGAGGGAGTAATGGCTTATCACTATTTTTTATATGTAATAGTACCCATGAAATTCTTAGTTTTGGAAAGTTCAATTTTAAGTTTGATACCTTTACCTTGGTCCAAAAGTTACCCTAGAAGGTATAGTTTATACGGTTAGCTTAATGTAGAAGAGGTAAAATAATAGTACCCATTAAATTCTTAGTTTTGGAAAGTTCAATGATTTCGTGAAACTCTCCAAAGTAGTTTAGGAGGATTTCTCTAGTTTTTTAACGTTCGGAAGGGTTTTCTTTAGATCACTCAAAAGCCCAAGATGGATTTCTTTGAAATATTATGCCCATTTTGATATCGGTTTTTCTATAGAGTGCCATTGGGCACTCTATAACTCTATAAGAGAGGAGAGAGATAGAAAGAAATGAATGAGGAAGGGGCCCCCCTGATTTGCATTGGGATCCTCTCTTCATTCATTTCTCTGTATCTCTCTCCTCTCCTATAGAGTGCCCAAGGGCACTCTATAGAAAAACCGTTTTGATATATCAAACATTTTCAATAGATTTAAGTCAGTAAAATGATAGCTTAATGCTCTTCGTCCTCTCGACCAATAAAAAAACTCTTTCTCCTTATATATCCTCTCTATGTGCTCACGAGCATTCTCCATTTTCTCCTTAAAATAAAAATCTCAATAAAATATAAACAAAAAGAATGTATGGAAGTTCCAAGGAGAAGGAAAGAAAATGGTGAGTACAAGGAGAGGGCTCCTGGGGACTTAAGTATATTAATTGCATGCTCTCGCTCTATTCAATAAAGACGTTGGATTCCCAATAACCTGCTAGCCGTTTAGTTTTACAATAAGGAAGAAACCATTGGAAATTACATTCATTAAGGTTTTGATTCACATAAAATATAAATAAACCATTTAAATAGTAGTTATCCTGGATGTGATTATCTATTTGCATTTGTACAATTTATTAACTCCAAAAAAGTTCTAGATGTATGAAGGTTCAGTCCAAATATTTATTTATTTGGAAATTTGTAATCGAATTGATCACAATCACAATTCATCAAAATATAAGAAGTCAGTTCCATTAATCTCACTCATGACAAGATGTCCGTTCCATTCTCACTCATGGCAAAAATACATATAATATCTCCATGTCTTAAAAACTAAAAACCAATATACTCCATTGGATCTAGATTCATCCAATGGCTGGGATTATAATATTATTATAACTGCATAAGGTTAATCATGTAAAATTAACAGCCACCAAAGAGAGGTAATGAATGCATGTGTCTGTTGAGTTCTCCATGCAAGTGTAGTTTTCCATTTCCCCATGTGATCTCACGGCTCAGGCAACCCAACAGTCACGAACAGCAGCTCTCTCACTCCACAACCAGCAGCTCTCGTTCATCGTCCTTCAGCTCTCTCTCAATCGAGAAATCGTCTTCTAGTCACTCCACAGCCACACAAACAACATTGCTGTAACAAAAATCACCATTATCATCTACGACCAACTGAACTAACATCTTCAATATTTGGTATTCGTGAACTTTTTCAAAATACAAATTAAGAAGCTCGTCAACTCACCATCAACATTTCCCTTTTCATCTGTCCTCACCATTGATATATCTTTCTACTTTCATCTGTCATCACTGTAAGTATATGTCCTTCTTCATTAACTATTATTGTGGCTATCAGTGATTAAAATTTGGATTCTAAGTGATTTGTTAACACCAGCAATGCATATTCACGAAGATTCACTTATTATCTAGGAGCTTACATTCTTAAACATTTTATGGAGATTTAAATGGAGAGCTTGAATTCAGGTGAGCACGTTCTAGTTGTTAGAGTCTGCAGTGATTTTCATAATGTATTCACATGTTTACGGTAAAAAAAATATTTCTGAATTATTACTCAGTGGTCTGGAAGAATATGATGTTGTTTATCTCGTCTGGAAGAAGATGAAGTTGTGTCAGTGGAAATGATACTCCAGTGAATCTGGATTCACTAGAGTGAATCTTGATTCACTGTAGTGAAACTGGATTCAATGCAGTGAATCGAGATTCACTCCAGTGAATCCATATTCATTGTAATGGATCCAGATTCAGTATATCAAAACTTAGTCATATGATTTATGTTGTTTTATTTTCAATTGTAGGCAACAATGAGCAAATAAATGAACCACATGTTAGAAATGCATCGGACAGTAATTTTGGCGAAGATGGAATGGACGAAGTTAGCTCGATTCCTTTTCAATCACCAGGTGGTGGTATGTATTGAAAACCTCAGGTTGAAGCTGAATTTAAACATTATCTAAACCAAAGCTTCCGATCACTAGAGGATGATATAGAGTTTTACCGAGAGTATGGACGTAAAAGTGGGTTTGAGATCAGACGACATACAGAGAAGAAACATGAGGACGGTACAGTTCTTCTTAAACACATTCTTTGCAGTAGAGCTGGCAGTAATGAATCAAAGATGGATGTTGATTTTGAGGATTCTAGTAGCAATGTGAAAAAGAGAAAGAGAATTGTATCTAGTAGATGTGGTTGCAAAGCTAAAGTCATTTTTAAGTTCGATGGTTTGAAAGGATATAATGTTCTCTCATTCGTTGAAGAGCATTCTCATCGTTTGGTGTCCGGGAGTAGGAAACAATTTTTGAAGTCAAATAGAGTTATGGGTCTCGCACATAAGAAACTTGTATTTGATGGTGCAAAAGCCAACATGGGACCTAACAAAACATATAACTTTGCTAAGGAGTTGTGTGGAAGTTATTCTAATGTTGGTGCTACGTGTACCGAGTTTAAAAATTGGAGTAGGGATGTGAAGCTTTATATTGGTGATCGAGATGCTCAAATGATCATCGAGAAGTTCACGGATAAGAAGGAGATGTGTGATGGATTTTTCGATGATTATGCAGTCGATGAAGATGGTCGATTAACTCGCATTTTTTGGGCAGATGTTATTGGACGAAGAAATTACGATGTATTTGGAGATGTGATATCATTTGACTCTACATATGCCACAAACAAGTAAGATTTTATAGTTAATCTCTTACGATTTTGCAATATTGGAATTATATATCATAGTGAATCTTATATTTTTTGTATGTGATACAATAGGTACAACATGAAGTTTGTTCCATTCACTGGGCTAGACAATCATAAGAAGTGTGTTGTATTTGTAGCAGGATTGATAGCTAAAGAGGACATTGATAACTATGTCTGGGTTTTTGAGGTATTCATGAAATGCATGATTCGCGAGCCAAAATGTATTGTTACAGATCAGTGCCCTGCCATGAAGCAAGCTATACCAACCATCTTTAGAGAAGCACGTCACCGTTTGTGCATGTGGCACATCATGAAGAAATTTAATCAAAAGGTAATGAATCCCACATATAAACATCATGAATCCTCATTAGATAAATACTGAATCTTTCGTTATATATTTATATTGTAGTTGGCAAAATGCATTTTGAAGATGGATGATTTCAAGAGCAAGATAAATGCACTGATTTGGAGTACAGATATAGATCCAGCAACATTTGAAGTGGGTTGGAACGATGTTATGAAATAATTTAAGCTTGAAAGTAATGAATGGTTGTGTGAACTGTATAACATTCGGGAGTCATGGATTCCAGCCTATTATGTTGATGATCCAATGACTGGTTTATTGCGTACTACATAAATATCAGAGAGTGAGAACAGTTTCTTTGACAAATTCAACCGTAGATCTGACACATTGATAGAATTTTATCTCCGATACGAGAGTGCTATGGATAAGCAAAGGCATACAAACGCAAGATTAAACTATGAAGGAACAAAGTCGATGCCAAGAATGGACACGTCATTGTTATTGGAGAGGGATGCAGCAGAGTAGGGGTGGAAATGAACCAAATAATTAACAAATAGTTCGATAATTGTTCGAATAACTATTCGGTCATATTCGATTCGGTAGTTCATTTACCGTTAAACAAATATTTTTTAGTATTCGAGTTTACTAACAAATAGAATTTAACCAGATGCATATTCGATTCGTTTGTTTATTAAATATTCGTTTAAAATTTGATCGCAACTAATTATTTGTATTATTGCACATATGATGTTATATTTTTAACCCACTTACCATTTCTACTTAAGTTTTATACATTGATTTTAAGATTCAAATAATCTTAAATCTATTTTCTAATTAAAATCTTGATTTAAATATATATACATCATATATTATAAAGGAATAATTTTTATTTATGAATTTTAATACTGTTTGCGGTGAAAGTTGTTGTCTTCATTTCTATCGAATCTATTACAACTTTGGTCATTACAATAAACTCGAATAAAATAAAAAGTTGATCTTTTTATAAGATCTCCTTACACAATGAAAATAAAACAAGTTTACAACTTTGTCAAACAAACGCAGGGAGATCATTTATCGATCTTCTGCTTGCGTGGGTGTCTTTGCCTGTGCCGGGGTTTATCCGTGGACTACCATCGATCAGATCTGATTGCTGAAAAATTGGGTAGAGCTTCATCTATTCGCGAAGGGATCGAGAAACCGTAGCTCTTATCTCGGCGAAGCGAGATAATCACTCTTCTTAAGATTATCGCAACGGGATAATCTTAAGGAACGGATCCGGGAAACTGTAGATCTGACGAATCTCTCTCTTACGTTGAAGAACTCGATCCGATCTCTCCTCCTCCTCTCTGAAATTCGTGTACCTTCAGTCTTTAATCCGGCAGGGCTTCGTCTAATCTTCAAAATTCTAGATCTGAAAAAATAAAGGCCTGAGGCTTGTATTTATAGGCTTGAGGGAGTTCCGGGCGGTTAAAACCACGTAACGGACAGATCTGGGGTTGGAGACACCCTTGGGTGTCTCAACCTGGGCCGAGACACCTTGGGGTGTTGAGACGCCATTTTTCGTATGTTCGTCTGTTTCCGCTTTAACTTCTTCATCCGAACTCAGATTTGAGTGATTCAAAGTGCGTTGGAAACCCGACGAGGAGTTCTATAAGCTCCAATGATTAGATCATCTGTGGAATCAATTGGGACACGAGGGGTGTAGCGCCTTTTGTAGGTGACGCGGGGCTCTCGATCAATTCGTATCCTCGTTATTCTGAAACTCCGATGCTTCGCGTAGTTCGTCGATTCACTTCAAGCGTTTGTCGACGTCAATCAAGCTTCTGTAAACTGGATAGTAACGTTCATCATATTTTCTTAACACTGAGCCGTTCGTGGAGACCTATAGGTAATTTTCGATGCCTACAGATACCCCCTTCAAAGCGTTCCAGACTCGTTTCTTTTGTAGAAGAGGCTGGAATACTTTGGATGTGATTGGTCTAGCCTTCAGTCGGCGTGAAGGACCTATAGTTAGCTTCGATTCTTGACTACTTTGATTTTTAGTCTATTCGATGCTTTGACGAATAGCTGAAGTCCTTCCGGCGCTGCGTTTATCGTCTGGCCGTCGTCGAAGTCTCAAATCTAAAACTGATGAGTTGAGTTTGGTTCGTGTCATTAAGTTGACTTTGAACTGACTATCTCCGTCGTGATATATCGACTCGTGTTGACTTTTTTGATCGCAACGCGTTGACTGGTGTTGACCTAGAGTTACGCCGAGACCGGCGTTGACCTTAGGGTTTTGAACGTTGTATGTTGACTTTTTGATCGCAACGCGTTGACTGGTGTTGACCTAGGGTTACGCGTTGACCGGCGTTGACCCTAGGGTTTTGAATCACCATACGTTGACACAGTTTATACTCATACGTTTTCTGGAGTATACACAGTTTAAGCTCTTAAGGTATTGGAGAGTTTATACTCATACGTTTTCTGGAGTATACACAGTTTAAGCTCTTAAGGTATTGGAGCATAGCGGTCCTAACAGTTGGGGTTGCAGGACCAACTATGAAAGTTGATTCATCTGCATGTATAGATCTTATCCTAAAGTTGTTGGATGCTCAAGTCACGAGACTAACCAATAGAGCTGGTGCGTCAATGACTCGCATTTATAGAATTTTTGGCAAATTCTCAGCCATCAACGGGTTTGATTAGCCTTTACCGACTACCGTTTGAGTCGGGCTAGCATGCAGATTGTTTAGATCCGTTCTGCACATAACGTTGTGCTAAAAGAGCGATATTTAATACGTAGACTTTGTCTTTCTCACGGGAATAGACTACCCGGCAACGTGTGTTAGACGTAGACTTAGGATTTTTGGCAAATCCTCAGCCATAAACGGATTTGATGTGCCTTTACCGACTACCGTTTGAGTCGGGCTAGCAAACAGATTGTTTAAATCTGTTCCGTATGTGACGTTGTGCTAAAGGAATGAACTCCCTTAGACTTGATGCTACGACTTCGAATACGTAGACTTCACCATTATTACGGGAATAGGCTACCCGGCAACACGTGTTAGGTGCTGACTTATCCTTACTTAGGATTCAGGATAAAAGTCCCCAGACTCGGGTTCTGGTGTCTTCTTCAATCGGTAAAAGACTAAACCGGCAACGCGTGTTAGGCGTTGGCTTATCCCTGCTTAGGCTTCGGGATAAAATTCCCCATGCGTGTGAGGCACGGATTATGGTGTTATTAATAACAACCTGCCATAATGTTGAATATGTGGTCTTTTATCTTTTTTACGGTCAAAGACTAACCGGCAACGCGTGTTAAGCATTGATCTATCCCTACTTAGGATTCGGGATAAAATTCCCCGTGCCTGTGAGGTACGGATTTTAGGAGTTAAAAAAGTGATGTCTTTTCTTGGGTTGGGGCAAAGACGAACCCGAAATGGGAGAGGAAGAATTTTATATTCTATCTCCCAACACTGAAGAGGAAGAATTTTATATTCTATCTTCAGTTGGAAAGGAGACTCGAGGTGGGATCTCCACCCCTAGAATCCGGAAAGGTAAAACTAGGAGTGAGACCTCCACTCTGAGAATCGAAAAGATTCGGATAACCCTAACTGTCGGAAGGTTTGATTACCGAACTAAAGATAAATTTCTCGTTTATCGAGAGTGAATTGTGGTTTTGGTCCTAACTGTAGGAAGGTTTGACCAAGCGGGAGTTTGAGATGACCCTAACTGTAGGAAGATTTGATCACTCGATTTGAAAGTGGACCTCTCGTTCATTGGAGGAATCAAGAGGGGATTTTGGTTTTGGCACTAACTGTAGGAAGGTTTGACCGAGCGGGATGTTTGAGACGATCCTAACTGTAGGAAGGTTTGATCGCTCGATTTGTGGATCTCTCGTTCATTGGAGGAATCGAGAGGAGATTTTGGTTGTGGTCCTAACTGTAGGAAGGTTTGACCAGGTAAACAGTGGCATAGTAGGAGTGTTGACTTGTACAAATCACTCAGTAGGGGTTCTTAGTGTCAAGTGATAAGGACTTAACACGAAGGGGTTTGATAATTCGTCAAAGATTGACAGATCAAAATTCTAAGCATTATGTCCGGAATTTAATAATGGGAATGTTGAGTGCACAAACACATAGAAGTTTGAGTGGATTCAACCGAAAGGAATTTTGGTGGTCCCACCGTCAATTAGTCTGATCGATGGGGGGTTTTATAGTGGAAGACTATGAGTCGTCGAACACCAATGGGAGTTTTGTGAGGGAAGATTGATCCAATGAAGTGATCAAATCTCGTCTCAGCAAAAGAGTGTTCGGAAATCACAGTAAGAGTTTAGTGTTTATCACTTTATTCATAATGATCAGGTTATCCCTAAGAATATTACATTTAACATTCTTTCGGAAACTTCCTGTTACATAAATTATCTACCCCCAGCTTCATTTGTAAAGCTGGGTTTACCATTGTATTCAGTTGCATGATCGGGTTATCCTTAAGAATATTACATGTAAAAATTCTCCAGGAACTTCCCGTCAAGAGTGGGAATAGTTTAGACTCATATACCTATTGGAGTATTGCCGTTCTTATTTGGCTTATCCTAACGTTATGACGCCGGCTTCAACCAAGGTCTGGATGCTATTCTTTATTTGGCTTATCCTAACGTTATGACGCCGGCTTCAACCAAGGTCTGGATGCTATTCTTTAAAGTAAAACAAGCCTTGGTGGGATGAAGGATCCTCCTGTGGTACGCGCAGTATTTCGGATCCGCAGTATTGTCAGCTTCCTCTTGATTCGTGATGGGTGACAGCTTGATCTTATTGTTTTTGAGAAGGGTCTCAAAGATGGCTGGAACGTCTTCGTCCTTGAATGAGTACTCTTTTTGGAGTCTCGGATCCGAAGTCTTCTGCTGTCTTCGGGGTTGCTGTTGCGACGTCTGATTAACGTCAACAACTGTTGTAGGTGCCTTCCCTTCATCATGAGAAATGAGACTCGGATTCAGAGGGTTAGCCATCGGTTGGCTTCTTTCGACCTTCCTCCTTCTGAGGAAGCGTTCGGCCTGCTCTCCGCGCACCTTCAACTCTTTCCAGGTATTGAGCGGCTCTACTCCCATAACGTCTAAGATGTTAATGGACAAGTTGTTATGACAAGTCTGCAAGACGAATTCCTCCGTGACGGGATCCTTGCAGTTCATTGCCTGGTTGTGGAAGCGTTTGATGAAGGTATCCACCGACTCTCCGTTTTTC